GCTGTGGTCTCACAGAGACTAAACAGCTCTATGAGGACCACTGCCGTGGTAGAATTCTGGCCATCACAGAGGACAGTCACCACCCCGGGCATGAGCTCTTCACCCCACTGCCCTCAGACAAGAGATATAAGAGCATATGGACACTTACCACCAGACTCTTCAAAAGCTTCTATCCACAAGCAGCGCGATTGGCGAACACATTTGGCCATTTGGCCCCTCGAACCACACCTACACCATCTACCTCATTATGATTTCTTATTTATTGCACATCTGCAGTCATTGTTTACATGTCTGGATTGTTTACATTCAACTGTTTACTTGTTAACTTGTACATTGTCTACTGTCTGTTTGTATATTGTCTTGTTGCACTTTGTGTTTTACTCTTTTTATTAACAATCGAGAGACTTTCTGTAAGTAAGAATTTAATTGTACCAGTTCATGTACCGGTTACATATGGCAATAAAGTTCAAGTTCAAGTAATGAATTAATAAAAAGGTAAACAAAATGTTAGAATGGTTAAAAGTATGGAGTGTGCATCAACGGTCGTGCAATGAATTACAAAAGCAAGATCTAGTTTAGAGTATTATGCACAATTTTGGTCACTCAGATATGAAATTATATTTTGGCTCTGAAATCAGTTACGACTGTCATGATCCTCCTCCCTCCTCTTAAGGGCGCTCTGACCCTTTCGTATTTAAGCTCATTTTGTGCACCTGTCCCCTGTTTGTCCGTCTTTATTTAAGCCTGGTGCTCTTGCTATTCCAGGTTCAGCATTAGGAGATGGACGGCCAGAAGCCCACCTTCCAGCGAGTCCGGGAGAGACCCGATGGCATAGGCTTCAACATGGCGTACCGACCATCTGAGCCCGGGGCTCGGAGCCTCGTTATCCTCGTTTTCCTGGTTTTATTCCCTGTCCCTGTTCCGGATTTTAGCCTTGTTTATATCGTCTTGGATGCATCCCCCGGTTTTGGACTCTGGACTGCGCCCTGGATTCCCCTTTGGACTGCCTGGATCTGTTTGCCAGTGCTACGCCCCCAGAGCACCGGATCACTATCCTCACGCCCCCCTGTCTGTCACCCCATCCTATCCTTCTGTAACTTCCCCTGATGTCCTTCTCCACTTACTTCCGGATTACACCGTCTGCATAGGGTCCTGAACTACGCTTCGCGGGAGCCTGGACCGGCTCCCGTTACAACGACGAGGGCAACCAGATATATTTCTGTGCTTACAGACATACCCCACACTGACAAGAAAAAACAACTAAATCTAATCTTGACCATGGGAGGGGAATATGAGGGAACCTGATTCACATGTTCAAAACTCTCAACAGCACTGACCACAAAGGACACAATGTGATTCAACACTGAAACACGACCAAAAGACACAAGTGACACAAGGACACCTAAAACTGAGAAAATGAGTCACTTCTTAACACAGAGTTTAGTGGATGTATGAAACAAGCCACAGAGCTATTTTGCTGAACCTGATACCCTAGCTTCTTTCACAAGATGGCTGGAAATTAATCTTTATATAATTTATTGGCAAAAACCCAGCAGCCATATCACCATGCAACTCACAACTGGCAACACACTGAAGCTCAGCAGGTGTGAGCCTGGCCAGTACCTGGATGGGAGACCTTCTGGGAAAAGCTAAGGTTGCTGCTGGAAGAGGTGTTAGTGGGGCCAGCAGGGGGCGCTCACCCTGCGGCCCGTGTGGGTCCTAATGCCCCAGTGTAGTGACGGGGACACTATAATGTGAACAGGTGCTGTCCTTCGGATGAGACGTAAAACCAAGGTCCTGACTCTCTGTGGTCATTAAAAATCCCAGGGCGTTTCTTGAAAAGAGTAGGGGTGTAACTCTGGTGTACTGGCCACATTTCCCATTGGCCCTTATCAATCATGGCCTCCCAATAATCCCCCTGTATGAACTGGCTTCATCATTCTGCTCTCCTCCCCACTGATAGCTGATGTGTGGTGAGTGTTCTGGCGCACTATGGCTGCCGTCGCATCATCCAGGTGGGGCTGCACATTGGTGGTGGTGGAGGGGAGTCCCCATTACCTGTAAAGCGCTTTGAGTGGAGTGTCCAGAAAAGCGCTATATAAGTGTAAGCAATCATTATTATAAAAATCAAACACCCTAAACTGGCCAAATGGCCTCCCCTCTTTTGTAATTGTTTTTATGCTCTTATTCTGTAATGTCAATTTCTGAGAACAATTTCCTTTGAGAAATCAGTCTCCCTCTTCTATTAATATATTTTCTAAATTTCCTGATTAAACGGTTGAGATTAAACCTTAGTGCAGTGATAAACCCAAACACAAAGCTTGCAACACAAGAGAAAAGACAACTGAATATAATTATGTGGAGAAACTATATTGTCATGTTTCATTTAATTGGATGTCAGGGATATTCGCTGAAGTGCAAATGACTTGCCTGTCATGATTTGCCATTAAAACGGACGCTTTTTTCATGTGAGGTACGAATGACACACTCCTTCAAGGTATTAATGAAATAATAGCATGTTACTATTGGAGAAATTAATATTTCTCAAAAATCTTAAAACGAGGTTAGATCGGTATTAAATTAGCAATAGTCAAAAACAGGGGTTCACCCACTGGATTAAGTTGTTTACACTAAATATTGCAAGCGCGAAAAGCACTCCAATTCTGTGTAAACGTTAAAAGGCACACATCAACTGAGAAATTAAGCAAGATTAAATCAAAATATTGAACCCCCACTATAATATAATACAGGCGCATTTTTTTCGGGTGGCCTTAAATTTGCTTCCTGATTACCCACCCTTCGGTATCACCCATACGTGATTTTGTCGTCTGTAATGGTCTATCTGGGTTAAAGAATTGATCGGCTCCGAGAAAGGATTCGTAAACACACATAACTACACATTTTTAGTAATCTTTTACTCTTAATAATTTAATATTTTAGAAAGAAACTGGAAAAAAAAAGTTTTACAGAACTTTAGGGAAAGTTGTCCAACAAGTACCTAAGGATTCATTCAAGAACAGCATGAATAAAAACACACGTGTAGTTTGCATTATACAGTAATAGAGTTCACTAATGACACCATTTATACGGAAGAAGAGTGGCTCTGATAATTTCAAGATTCGGTTTGAAAACAATATTAATGTTTAAATACTTGGCCACGGAAAATCAATATTGGGGGTACTTGCTTCTGCCGTTTAATTTTACGGGTTCCTGGCTGTGAGCCAGCACTCCATCATTAAGTCCTATTTGTGGTCACAAAGTTAAGCGCTTTCCTAGATTTACATAATTAATTACATTCCTTCAGTCATATATTGGAAAGAAATGCAGCACTGTATTTTAAGTTGCTAGTGCTAGGTGTAGTTTCACATGTGGTCTGTCAAACGTAGTTTGTAGTTACTCCGGTTGCATTTTGATTCCACAGTCTTAGGAATGCAAAACGTGGGACGGGCTTCGGTTTTCCAAAGACGTTTTGGTGAGGCTTTCCCATAAATTGTTCAGTGATTCTCCACGACTCTTTATGACTAAGATAGCACTGTACATGTTCAAAATAAAGCGGATACCACGCCCTTAAGGAAGACCTGGGAAATCAATCAGACAGCCCAGCCAGCAGATTAATCGTCATTAGCTTTGTTGTGTTGCAATGAAAAGAAATGATTACACATAGTAGTAGGAAATGGGTGTTCAGGATCTACAGCAATTGCATACTCCCATTTATCATATTAAGAGGATACATGATGTCATCTATATATAATAAAACCTCATTATAATGTCACAGGACGAACACAATTTAAAAGAACAGCCTGAAAGCACCCAGGATCAAATTTTGATTTTTACAATACAAAGTATTGTTGCAATGGAAGTAGAAGGCAAAACAAACAAAAACAAGGTGAATGTGTGCCACATAATCTGTCCATGGGTTCCCAAAACATAATAATACATACTCAAATTCTCCAGTTCATCTAGTGTTGTCAATTGGCCTCAGATCGATTGATTGCTTTTAAGACAGGATGTGCCTTGCTTATAACCTATGAGGTAAAACGAGTTAACATGGAAAACTGAGCAAAAAGCAATATTCTAGTTTGCTGAGTTTTTGTCAATTAGGGCAGTGGACATTAACGGTAATAGCACATTCACGATGTAGATACCTGCAAAATAATGAACATATAATAGAATATGAAGTGCGATAAATTATAAAAAAATGCTTAATCCGTGTTATTGTTTCAATTAAGTCTCCTTGAACTGTCCAATTAATTAATTCTAAGGCCAGTTGGTACCCCTAAATCCAGCTGGAATTGAGAGCATGCCGAAATCCAGTGTCTCTAGTGTCAAGTACTGTATAAGTACAGGAACAAAACGTACAGAATTAGTTTTATTGTTTTATTTGAACGGATACGTGTGACTTCAGATCTGTGTACTTTTAGGAATAAACATTAGGCCTTCCTCTATAGTAAAACATGCTCTTAATAAAACAGGAAGAAAAACTTAAGAGTGTGAGATTCTGTTATATTGGACCAATAACAGTAAATATCCACTGATGCTATGGGTGTCTATGCATTTAAAAAGATTTGGAAAAAATATTAATTCAAACAATTGGGCAGCAATTCACGTAATATAGCAACCTGTGGTACGGTGTAATTGAGCACAGTGCATGCGGTGTAATGAATTTTATTCAGCTTTAAACTTTCCAGAAGGAAAAGACCTTGAAGATGTGTTTTTTTTTTGTATTCTCTCTCTCTCTCATCGGCCAGAGATTTACAGACAAAAAACCCCCCCGGTGAATGTATCATCGTATTTCCGGGTTGTGGACAAGGTTTCAAAACCAAAAAAAATGAATAAATAAAATAAAAGCTACAGCGTTGAGAAAACACAACCCGCTCTCTCCTCAGCTGTGATGGTCCGGTGTTTTTGCATAACTGAGTTTTTTGTTTTGTTTCTGGGGGCCTGGTTTACACTAAGCACGTCATCGGCCGCTCATGTTTATTGAGCACAAGGCATTGAGGAACTGGCTGCCGCTGGTTCCAGCACCAGATACAAAGCCGAGCTGGAGATAAAGAGCAACACAAAGGAAGAGCGAAGCTTTGAGAGTAGACGCTTTCTGCCGAAGAAGATAGAAGGTAGTGCCAGGTAACATGCAATTTAACGGCACCTATTCGAAATCGTTTCGCCAGTTTTGACGCTTTTTTTTTTTAGCGTAACACACCAGAAAGGATGTAAACGTTTTTGAAAATAACTGAAAACGAAGAGGTCTTGAAACTGTCAGCATACAGGGGGGGCAAACAACAGTTTTTGAGAATACACGTATTTCGAGCTGATTCCTTTATTCCGTCTTTTTCTTTTACTGGGCACTGTCCCCGTGTTATTGGGTGTTGAGGTCGTAACTTAAAAAAAAAAAGGTACGGTGCCTGAACTTGAAAATAGCAGGTTGTATTTGATCAATTTACAGAAAAGTGTTTGTTATTCTATGGTCTTGGTTGGTAAGGAGCAGTGTTGGTGACATATTAATCATTTCGTTTTGACAGGCCAGTCCAGCGATTCCGAAATATAGCTGTCTTTTGCGCATCTGGTACTGTTTTTCGCTGTGCCACAGTGGCATTGTTACTGTGTAGCCCTTTACGTGGCAGCAGGGGGACAGCTGTGTGACAGGCAGAATCCGCTGACTTCCTATACCGTGAACGTGGTCAAGAGATGAAGTCAGAGAAGTTGGAGTCGCCAGTGATTTTTAAACAATGCGTATGCAGTTTTACGAGCAGAAAAAAAAAGTCATTTAAAATCTTTACAAATAAGGTACCCACTATTCCTACTGTACGTCAGATTTTTTTAAGGGCAAGGCTTCTCTTGAAATGCCCCAGGGCTCAACGAGAGGTTTCAACAGGATAGTTTTTTAAATGACGTTTTTTGTTAACAACAACAATAACAACAACAACAACAACAAAAGCTTTCCTGTGTGCTTTACAGCGGTTGTTCACGGGTCTACAGTTACAGCTACGGTTGTCGACTGGTTGTTTCAGTCTCAACTGAGTGTTGCGAAAAAGTAAAGAACGCATGAAGTTCACAGTCATTTTCATCAAGGTGTTCTTGAATGTTTCGGTGAACATCTTAAGGGTTTTAAAGGAAGAACGATTCCGTGCGATACACTCTTTACTCCTGTTAGGCAGACATCATTACTCTGGCGAATGTAACAAACTATTAAGAGTTTAAATTACAAACGACTGGAGGCTGTTCGCTCAGTAGTAACTCGATCCAAGGATCTCATCCAGCCGTTTCTCGAAAGAAACGGGGGTATCTGCTTCAACGACGTGGCTGGGTTGCATGTCCTCTACTTCCACCACCCTTCATGTAAAGTCTTGCCTACTGTTTTCAGGTTTGAATGCATTTTCACATACTTTGCATTTGCACCCTGTGGTTTGTGTTCTACTGTTCATTCTGAAGAAAACGTTTCGGCTGACTTTGTCCTGGCCTTGAAGGATTTTGAATATTTAGGTCACCTTGTAGTCTTCACTGTTCATGACCTAAGAGATTGTGTTCCTTCAGCCTGCCTGTGTAGAACGTTCCCTTAAATTCCCAAAATGTGTCTGGTCGCTCTTTCTGGATGGATTGGATTGCAGAGCAGCATGAACTTTTCTGTAAGGAGGTGTCCACATTTAAAACGTGCAAAGCGGTAACGTTTTAGGAGAATCATTGAAAAAATTGTCATCGCCTGTCTGCTCCTTTTACAGTATATACAGTATGACAGCAGTGTGGAGTACTGGTCAAGACTCCGGACAAGTTAAATAAATGTTTACCTCATCCTAAATATGGTAAATGGGTCAGATCCTGAGTGTGGTGCTGTTGATTTACCTTTGATCAAGGTACTGCACCCGGACTGTTACAGTAAATTGCCCTGATGTATAAACGGGTAATCTCCAAAGTGTTATTACAGATTCTTTTCAACTTCGACTTAAATCGTATTAACCGGTTAAATCGTACGACTGGTTACATAGTTTTAACATTTTGTATGAGCTTTAATTTTAACATTTGTGATGACTGCAGATGTATGACTTGGAACTTCCAAACACCTGTACAACAGACATCTGGTATCTTGAGCCTGGCAATTTCCAAGTAATTACTAAAACCTACAGTGCTGCCTGCCTTTTGTCTGTCCTTTGCATTACATGTCCTTCTATCCTGGAGTTTATAACGAAAGTTCAGGAGGGATGACAACAACCAAGTTCCGTCGGTCTCATCTGTAATTATTATTTCCTACACCCGAAGAAGGTTCCACAGCCGAAACATTGCGGCTCTTTTCTTCTCTTTGCAACGTAAAATAAACCTTTACTTTTCCTTTGCATTATTTCGTAATTATTCCTGATGTCATTTCCTCACCTAAACATTATAAATACTGGACGTGATTCCCTTCTCTCCCTCACAAACATCTTCTGCATCCCCCCTCCACCCCATCTCCACCTGCTGCTGCCCCTTGGTCACCCCTCAATCTGCAAGGGGGTCCCAGTCCCCTCATCCTCTGGGCAGGAGGGTTTACTGTGACTAAAACACTTCATAAGCCTTTCTCAATATGCTTAATTCATGGGTGTTGGGTGTTGTTATTACTAGTGAAATAAGATAAGATCACTATTGGCCATATACAATTTCTTGTATTAGTAATTCGTCTTTTTGCAGCTTGCTCTCCACGAGACACACAGACGGGAGAGAGAAGCTTGGGGTCAGAGCGCAGGGTCAGCTGTTTACACGGCACCCCTGGAGCAAATAATTAAGCTGGAGGAGCTGAATGGTCCCCTCTTGTTTGTAATCTCTTATGCACTTATGTTCAGCAGTGTTTTTATTAATGCTGCCAAGCGGTTTGGGTGACATACTAGACACAACACATGCGTGAACATCTTAGCAGTGAGAGGCTAGGAAGAGCTTTGCAGGAGAAACAGATCTGTCTGGAATGATGGCACAAGCCACAGCATGGATTGGAGCTTGGCAGGAATCCATTTCTTTTATGTATTTTTAATAACAAGAAGTGAGTTCCCTGCTACCAGTTTGTGTTCGGACTTGTTAAATAACTATTTCACAAACAAAGGTTGTGAAAAGGTCCCCGAGTCCTTTAAGGCACTTGCTTGAATCCATTTCTGAATTTACATTCATGCTTTGTAGGTTGAATTTAAACTTCTGTCGATGCACCCTTAGTCTCCATTGAAGAGATAACTCTGTCGTGTTAAGTGACTTAACAGCGAGCAGATAATAAAGTCATTGTGGTCGTAGAAGTTTTTTTTTCTTTTTAAAGATCAAGTTTACCGAAATTCTCTCTTTCACTAGAAAGGTTCGGCAGTGCCCTGTTTTTTAAATAATATGTCTTGCATCAAATAAAATAATCTGGATTTATTTGAGCATTGAGGAGAAGTATGTATTAATCCATTGTTAAATCTATTCTGAAAAAGTTTTCCTTGTACTGAAGCCTAAATGAGTCCCTGTGCAAAGCTTTGCTCTGTTGTCTACATTTGGGGAGAAGACTCAGCTGAGCATCAGCACACCACTTGAGAATAATGATCCCATAATAGAGGAGAGAGTAGTATTTTATTTCATACCTTTCATACAGGAGTCTTGACAGGAGGTTGTGAAAAGCTAAAAAGCACTCTCTACCATTTGGAAGGTTTGAAACTCAGCTCCTAAAATACAATGCAATCTCTGTTACTGTAACACAACGGAACGCTTAAATGTGGTTTTGATTATAATTGTTTTCTTTCTGATTTTGTAGGCTACGCACTTAAAGCTTCATCATTATTGAACCCTGATCTTTGTTTCAGACTTTTTTTTATAAATTCCCACCTAGCAATAAAATTCTAAATAGCTCTCCAAAAATCAGTGTGAATTTTCTTAAAGGGTGTCCTTCCTAAATGAAAAATTGATGCTGTCTTTTTACCTAGCAGACGGTCTCTTCCTACGGTATGACTGAAATTAGGTCCTTTGCCTCTGGGGTATTTTCTCAAACAGGCATAGCTAATTAGAAATTACAATTACACCATATAAAAGCTTTCTTCAAGTGTGGGCAAGTATTAGAAAACAATGTGCACTGCATATGTGGTTTGCTCGTGTTTGCTAACCTTCTTTTTAAACTGGCTCCTAGATATTTTGAATAAGGTTGAAATAGTTTCTGGAAACTTTTCTCAAAATGTCTTAGAGAAGAAGAAAACGTCTATGTGGAAAAGAGGATAGGCATCAGATGGAAATATTCACTTAGAATAAACATGAAAATGTAAAAGTGTGGCAAAATCACTTTAATAAAAGCATTCAAAAGAACAGATCCAAGCTACAGTGTAGCACCTGGTAAGCAAATTAGATTTTTAGTCCTTGTTAATTGGTTTTAGTAAAAAATTATACTGGGATAAATGTAATTCTTGAGTCTCTCAAAGACTTCATATATAATAAGTTATGTTGAAAGGAAAATTATCTTAACAGAAAGTAATACAAGCAAGGGCCAGAGGCTATGGGAGAGACACGAACCTTGATAATTTCATTACCTTTTTACTGACTTTTAATTTGCAATAATATAATTAAAAACAAAATGTAAAAGATGTAGTAACGTCATGTGTATTATTGTGCAATGATTGTGTTCCCTTAAAAACAGAGAACAGTACACTCAGTCAGGTTGATGAATAATAAATCTCTGTTACAAGAAGGAAAACATATTTCTATGGAAAAGAAGAAAAAACATTTAGTTTGGAAATGGATCAATCTGCATTAAAATGAGAGCAGTTATATAAGGATATTGGCTCTGAGGAAAAACAGCTGCCTGTGGGATACACAGTGATTTTTGTATAATAATTATTATATTCTTGTTCTAAAATTCAAATGTTAACTTTGAAGGTTACAGTGACAGTTCTTTAGAAGTCATTCGTGGGTCAGAAGTATTTTTATTTTATAGAGCTATAGAGTGTTCATATTATGATTTCTGGCTTCTTGGAGCTTTAGGTTCTGGAATGTGTTGTCTGTGTTGTTGTGGTAAAGAGAGGGATTCTATTTTTGGCAAAGGTGAGTCATATGGAAGTGTGGCCGGGCTGGGGCGTTAGTTAAATATGCTTATTTCCTTTTCATTATACGTGTAGAATGAAGGGTTCTTAACATCTGTTGGCAGGTTAAGTTTTGTCTTTGAACTCTGGTAATCAAATGGAACAATCAGTGGTGCACAATCCCTGTTAGTAAGAGATACACATCTGAAACTGCCCAAGGCTATTTAAAAAAATCAGACACTTTCAGATTTGTCAAGAAAGTTGGATGCCTTCTGCACCTGCTTGTCACATACTGTAGGCTTTTTCGTTCTGTTTCCAAAAGTACCTTTTATATATTTTTTTTAATTTGCCTTTCTTTAGATATATAGTGATGTAGTGGTCCAGTATATACTGTATGTGATTGATATCTCCAGTAATGAATCTAATTGAGCAGCGATGTGTTTGCTGTGAACTGGAATGTCCAAACTCTGGGCAAACTGCTACATGTGTAACAGAAATACTCTTGTGCCCTTAGTGCTTTTTACATGGTCAGTAGTTTGGTTAGTTTCTCCCAGTGATGACTGGTTTTCCACACGCTTTTAGCCATATTTACTACAGTCTCTCATAAATGCTTATCTGCCATACCAAGAAAAGAAAAAAAATGTTTGTTATAAAATGTAAATATACAGTACCGTATTGCAAAAACATTCAGCAAAAACAAATCTAACAGTGCTTGATCTTAAACGCTCTTTCTTTATAACTCCACTTTCCAGCCTGAACAGCACAAATATTGATTAAAGAAAAGTCCTAATTCTCAGGCCATGGATTTGCTTAATTCCAAAAACAATTATAGAGAATGCTACCGTTCTAACTTTCTCTTTTTCCATTTTATTTTGGTTGAATAGCTTTCAACATCCCCTCTGTGGAAATGTAGTAATTAGATGGATTGTTCTGTATGTGAAATATGCACATGGATTGTTTAGTCAATTGTATTTTGAAATCCCTGCGTTTTACTGTTGGACTTGTTCTTTGTTTTTTTTTAAAGACTTGTTTCCCTTCATCAGAAGTGTTTTTCTCCTCTTGGTTTAACTTCTAAATGCAGAGTATGTGTTCTGTGGCACCACAGTTATGATTTTCTGAGCCGTGTGCTTTAGTACCTTTAATTGTGGCTGCCAGAGTGGCGTTGTTATGTCTGCTACAGGGCATGTATTATACCATAATCCTGAAATTATCTGTAATTCAGAAAAAAATGTAATTATCCAAACATTAAATGGGACCCTATAAGGCTCTTAGTGGTAATTTACTTTATGAAGGTTATTGAGCGTGTCTGAGAGAGACACAAAACGATAGGAACAAAATCTGAAAGAGATCATATGATAGGCTTTTGTGATTTTTGATAACATACAGTAGGCATGAAAACTGTATTTGCCTTTCTTTAGATATATAGTGATGTATAATTGTGTAATTTCACTCACTGCCCACACCTAAACAAATTACAGTTTCACTGTAAGATACACTTATATAATGCAATGCTGGGTATTAAAGGTCATCGATTTAAACTTTATATATTTCTGAAGTTTAAATCAAGCGAGGCAGGATCAGTGTGTGGGCTAACAAGTAACCTGCTGTACAGGTGTTGCGTATGTGTATGAGTACTTGTAGCACTGAGATATAACTCGCGTATGATCAGCAGTGTGGAGCAGTGGGAAAAGTTCTGTGTTTGGAATTGCAAGTTTGTGGGTTCAAACCTCAGCTTTAGCACGATAATTCACCTGTGTTGTTCCAGTAAATACCCATGTTTAGATACTGTAGGTGCAAGTGTAAGTTGCTTTAAATAAAAACATTAGAGAAATTAAAAACTGCAGAGGTAGGTATACTCTATTGAAATTCTATATGCTTTCTGTTTACTTCTAAAAAAACTTTTAATTTTACTTGGAACTTTAGGGTCTTCAGTTAATCTTTTAAAATCTTCTTTGCAGTAGTTCCAGTAAGTGTGTGGCCAAGCATGCAGATACTGGGATAATGATTATGACGTTAAATTGTAGATAAATCATGTTTATTACCGCACTAAATTCTTGAAAACACAACACTTTTTTGGCAGTTTGTGGCATTTATTGCATATTTAAAATGATTATCTCTGAAGTTGTTTTTGGGAATACATCCTGTGCTTCACATGAAGAGGTACTTTAGTTGCTACAGTGCAAATGATGTTTCCGAATCCATAACGTGTTGATGCAGAGTCATGAGTTAAAATACGGTACTAATGAAATTCAAGGCATAACTTTAGAAATATACCCAGTTGTATAAAAGGGTACCATTTTAAGTCGTTTTGACTAATAGCATTTACCAAGTTAATATGACTGATAAATGTGATATGGATAAATTTAATATCAAATGATTATTTAAAATATCTGTTCTAACAACCCTGTTCTGATTGTGTTTCTTCCCATTTAGATCCCCTAGAAGAAGAGTTTGGACGGCATGCAAAGTTGTGAAATATCTTCAGACAGCACAGATGATCCTCTTAGTAGTGGCCTACACAGAAATCGACAGCCTCGAATAGTAGTAATTGGTGCTGGTTTGGCTGGCCTTGCAGCTACTAAAACCCTCTTGGAAAACGGTTTTACAGATGTCACTGTCCTAGAGGCGTCAGATTGCATTGGAGGGAGAGTGCAAAGCGCTCAGCTCGGTAAGAGGTCTTATCAGCGTCTCCGTGTTTTTGAGTGATGCGTTTCAAACCTTCGGAGCTGTTCCTGGTTCTGTGACAAGTTTTGACTGAGGATATAGCATCGGAAGAGAGTGGTGTTAATCTGTAGGAGTGTGCAGTTAATTGTTAGGTTTTTGCGCCAGTCGCTGCAAGGGTGCGGTTTCAAATCCCAGGTGAGACAGTGCGGTTGTACCCATAAGCAAACGGCACCCTTTCCAGTGCATTCAGGACCTTACTGGCAATCGTTTAAATGAGTAGAATGCAAAATGAATAATGTTACAATAATGTGTAAGTCTCTAGGCTTTAAATGGCACGATCATAACTGCTGCAGTGTGGTTATGGTTCTGGACTGGTAAGTGGAAGGTTGTGGGTTCAAATTCCAGGTGAGGCACAGCAGTTGTACCTGTAAGAAAGGTACTTCATTCAGATTACTCCAGTAAAATGCCCAGCTGTATGAATGAGTGTGAACGTAAGTTGCTTTGGATAAAAGTATCGGACAACTGAGTAAAACTTGGGTAATATAGGAAAGGTTACAAATGAGAGTCTGACGTTGGATCCATGTTGTTAGGATGAAATATGAATCTATTAAAAAGAATTGTGTCTGGGAATCATTATTATTATTATTTTATTAGTAGTAGTAGAGTGGCTTTCAATGAAGGTCATTGTAATAGATTCCTAATATTTTTCCTTCAACATTGTACTGTCAGATAACTCTCAGCCTGGAGGAAAACTGATTAAAACGGGTTAATATTCTGATAAACCTCCAGGGATTGGTAATGGGAAAACCCTCTGAAGGTCTAAGTCGACGTTGTCTGCATATAATACCTCCTTGATTGCTTATATGATGTGAAATCATGGCCGATTTATAAAAAATGCATGTGCAGTAACTGAGAGAACAGACTATACTGTTGTGTTCAGATGGTGGAAGTTAATACAGGGGTGCTGTGGTTTTGAGTGAAGATTTGCCTTATAATGTAGGATCAATTCCATATCTATTTAAATGCTCAATAATTCAATAGTATGTAAGATTATAGCTGCATCTCCTTTTTTGGAAACATTTACCTTATCCATTTTATCCTTTATTGAAGATAAGCAGTAGCCCTGATCTGCAGTTGAGTTTCTTAAAAAAAACGGGAAAAGTTTTCCGTTGTCAACTGGCAAGTTGCTTATTGTTGCCATTATCATTGAGCGGTTAGATAGGAAAACTTGGGTTTCTTGCAGTGATTTTTGAAGATTTATCATCCTGTATCAAGTGAGTTACGAATGTTTTTTCTAGGAGAAATATTCAGAAATAATTTAAAAAACCTCCACATCTCAGTGTATACATGTAATGCCCTATTAATATGAAAATCATTGTAGGGTAAACATCAGGTTAAATTCAATTACAGTGCAGGAATGATGAAACCTAATGATCATTCTGTATTTCACTATTAATGTCATGAAGGGCCCAGTTAAATTAGAATAATACTTACAAACAAGAAAAGACCATTCTCCCCTTCTAACTCATTTTAGAGCTCAGGTTACCAATATTGTAATCTGCACTGCAAAGGTTGTGGTTTAGGTTCTGGCTAAATTAAAATAGGCAAAATGCTGATGATTCTCTCTTCAGTGCTCCTGTAACTCAAGAAGTTACAGTATTGCTCCTTGAGTTGCTGTATTGCTGTGAAGTTATTGAAACAGAGTGAGTAGGGAAAGGTGTCTGAACAGTGATGGTCATCTACAAAATAGGCATTGTGGTTGAGAACAGATCAACATCTGGTCTTTTGAAAAGCTTGGATAGAGTTTTTTTAATTAAATGCTCTTTTTTTCAGCAGCAGCTTCGACAGTCCGTAGTGTTTTCAAAAGCCTGTTTAAGCCGATGTACTGAAACAGTAGGGAGGATGCGTCGATGCCAAGTACAATTCTACCTTGAACCTTTGTTTTTCTATTCAGTCGCCACCTGTTTGTGGTTATGCTGTAAACGGATCTTAGAGAATTCTCTAATTGAGAAGTTCAAGCTGGCTGCGAGTGTTATTCGTGAGCGAGGTGCGAAGACACAATTACTGTGCTAATGGAACCGGGCTCAGTAGAGCTGAGCATGTCACAGAAGTGTATGTAAATGAATCCTTGCAGGGGCAGAGCAGAGCTGCACCTGTTGGTGAGGTGACTCGGAATTCATAAGCTGGGGAGAAGAAGGAGGAGTTTAGAGAGAGAGATGGCCTGAGCATATTACAGAACCAAAACAGACCCTTTAAAAAGGCCAACTTTACCTGTATGTTGGATCTCTAGTGTATCATGGTCTCACAGGAGAATTCTCCTGCAGCACCGGACCTAGTCACTTTGTGTAGTGGGGTTCGCTGCTGTCAAGAGGGCACTGCTATGGGGCTCTGAGCCCGTGAGTGACTATGATCGATTCCCAGCAGGGGCAGAGTGGAGCTGTACATGTCACGGTCACACAGATTGCCTCTTGGGAATTACATTTAATCTTTTCAGAATATATGCAGTGCCAAGGAGAAGTATGTATTTATATAACTATGTGTGATACTGTTTTACAACTAAAGTACTGTCATTAAGAACAAGGGGATCTATGTCCAAGAGATCTGTCTGTCTTGTTCTAGTGTGAAATGACCCTAATATGACCCTAAAATGACCCTCCTGTGGCTAAGGACCTGTGCCTGTTGCTGGAAGGTTGCCAGTTCAAATCCTGCTTCCGGCAGAGGAATCCTACTCCACTGGGCCCCTGAGCAAGGCCCTTAACCCCAACTGCTCCAGGGGCACCGTACAATGGCTGACCCTGCACTCTGACCCCTGTCTGTGTGTCAGTGTCTCATGCGAAAAGACGAATTCCTAATGCAAGACATTGTATATGGCTAATAAAGTGATCTCTATGTTTTACCTATTTTTTTTTTTTAGTGTTGAGAATGTTGAAGAAGTCTTTTGGCTCTTGCATATAATTATATGTAATTGTATGATAATTCATGAGGTGTTGATAGAGCCCTTTACATGTCATGTACTGTACAAGAAGCAGCTTGTATTTAGGTAAAAGCTGTATCTCAGAATAGCTCTAGGTTTGTTTTTCTGTAAATGTGTTTTGTGATAATTAAGAATTGATTTCCTGAAATTATTTAATTCTAGGTAAAACCTTGTGGTACTGTCGGACAAGGCATGTTTTCTTTTACTTATAAAGTGCATTAATGCTGGTGAACTGGTGTTGAGATAACATTCATGTCCAGCTCTTAAAATCAACAGCATTATGTGATGTCATCGTGATGCACTGAAAATTATCAATGTAACAACCGATAGCACTGCTGTTTGCATGAGCTGTAATTGTGGTGTTTTTATGCCATTGGTAAAAGAAGAAATAAATATTGTATACTATAATTTCACATTTACTGTTTGTAATGTTTATTAAATATCTTTCTTACGTAAGAAGACAGTGCAACTTATGAAATTTAATGCTGATCAGTTCATCTGACATATTAATAGTAGTGATGAAATATCATGATTGAAGCTATTTTGTTTTTTCCTCTTTGATAGTTTGTAAAAGGTGTAAAATGTTGCTTTATGTGGAATTTCCTTCTTGCTTAAATACCAGGTAATATTTCAGTGAATGCCAACAAAACCCCTTTTAAATTGATTATCTTCTTGTTGTGCATAGTTGTTAGTTTTCGTGACTATTTTAACAGCTTTGGTTTAGTTCTTTATCTTTTATGCTTATGCGGAAGCAACAGTTTTATTTTGTTTTGACAGTTACTCATAGCAGGAAGCTGTAGTTGTGTTTAGATTCAATATAAATGTTTTCACTTAGGAGACTCTGAGAGTGGACTTACTTATCAAAGTTTGTATAGAAATCTGGTTGCTCAATTGTGAGGCAATCTCTCTTCAGCACTCAGACACAGAGCCCTATTTTCAAAGCACTTGGGTGCTTAAATCCACATTTCTTCCCATAAGGAGTTAAGCACCTGCATGCTTTGAATATAGGGCCTTATATTCAGAGGCTGTAAGAGAGGTAAAGATTGCGATCGATGTGGAAAGATGAACTGCATTTCTTTAAATTAGAGGGTCAAGATCAGGTGGGTTTCTTCAGTGGTTCATTCATTGGTGGTACAGCTTTTTGCATTTTTCTGCAAAGATTGGATGAATTGGTATGACCTGATGCCTCTTACTACCTTTGGTGTGCATTTTCCAAGACTACAGCAGACAGTGGCCACATACTGTACACTAGATGTTCAATCTGCTAATAGAATTTGGAAAATTTAAAGACCTTTTTATTTCTTTATTTTTCCTTATTTAATCAGGACAAGCGACCTTGGAACTTGGAGCTACTTGGATTCATGGTGCCAATGGCAATCCAGTCTTTCATCTGGCAGAAGACAATGGCCTCCTTGAGCACACCACTGATGGGGAGCGCAGTGTGGGCCGCATCAGCCTTTACACCAAGAATGGTGTGGCTCACTACCAAACCAACAATGGCAAGAGGATCCCCAAAGACCTTGTTGAGGAATTCAGCGATTTATACAACGAGGTGGGAGTTCATTGCTGAGTCCGGAATCAGGGAGGGGGATGGGGCATGGGTTATATTCTTTGATGCTTAGAAATTCCTGTGTATGCACGTCAGATTACAACCTTTTTCCTTTTGTTACAATGTCAAGAGTTCTTCTTCCCCCCTGACTTTATTTCCATGTGGCTTTGGAATTGGAGGTTTTGCATGTAAGACATTCATGCACATTGAAACAGGGTCATTTAATTGACTTTAAAGACCCAAAAGCACCAAAAGTGTCATCAGTTGCGTGGTGAGACTTGGCTTGTGTGGGATGAGGAAAGGATCCTGTTGAACTCTGCAGCTCTTGTTCTGTAACTGTTGCACCATGACATGAAAAAGGTAGCTATTCAAAAAGAATTTAAAAATGAAGCTGTACCTACAATATATTCAGCTCTATATCCTGTGATATCCTGGTTTCGTTTCAAAATAGGAACCCACGCAGATGAAAGAGTTTGAGTGCGGTCTCTTTTTGATAAAGTAATCAGGTTAAGTAAAGGGCTGTCATCAGTATATCAGTCTTAGGTTGGTGTGGTGAAGCGGACAAGTCTGTGGAATCAACACTGATTCCTGTCCCAGCTGCAGACACTGCTGTTGTACCTTGAGAGGGGTGCTTTGACCCACTTGCTCCAGTTCATTCAGCGCTGTAAATGGGAAATAGCAATGCGGGGTGTCATACTTGTGATGGACCAGCGTCCCATCTAGAGGGGTGGGAGAGTCAGGTGTTTATTATTGTGCTTAATGACCCAGAAACCAGGACAAGCTCTGGCCTGATGAGCCAGTGTGGCTTGGATGAGGAAATTATCCCTGTGGCTCTTATGGAAGGTCGCTGCGTCAGCATGTGTAGGCTACAAAGAAACAAGTAAAGGTTTATTCCACGCTGAAAAGAAATGTAGTGCCGAAGCACAGTGCTTCGGCTGTGGCTGTTTCACTAGTAGAAGGCTTCGCGGCCAAAATGTTGTTCTTCAATTCTTCTCTTTTCAGCATGGAATAAACCTTTACTTGTTCCTTAAAAATGAAGCCAGGTTGGTGTAAGGGAGCAGCTGGATCCGAGGTGTTGATACTGGGTCAGCCCACTAGAGGGCGGTGTAGAGAGAGCTAAATAAAGGTCTGACATTTTGATGAGTTTATTAGAGAAATTGACTTCAGCTGTCTGCAAACTAATGTCTATATAGAAAAACTGTCTGCAAACTGACTTCTTTACATACAACAGAGATGGTCTATTCCGGCTTCGGGGTAGAGTGGTGAAGTTTCGTCATGAGTCGGTGCTGAAAACCACGGGTTCAGTCTCGTGGTAAGACTTTAATAATATACCATCACACCTACTGCCGCTGTGTCAGTGGTGCTAGTTTTGCATGTTAGAGAAGCATTCCTGGCCAAATAGGATCAGCCAGATGGCTTAGGTTCTGATTAACAGGGGGAAAGGAAAGGCAAAAAGGTTATGGATCTAGTTCTGAGCTCCACCGTATCTGACAGGGGGTTTATGAGCACTGGTTCTCCATTCCATGCTACTGGGTTAGGAGGATCTGCTGCAGTGGGTTATCATTTTCTTGCTGGTGATCCTCAAAGCAGTTTTTATTAAGAAAACCTTTTATCGTCCACAGTGAGCTGAAGGAGTTTAATATTGTTTGATGTTACATGGGGTCGTTAGCGAATGTCGGTTTCAATCTGATATATGCACAGTATAAAAAAACCTTTAGAGTGCTTCCCTTAAGAAGGTGCGTTTAAAAGCAGTATTCAGTTTCAATTCAGTTCAGTTTTATTTGTATAGCGCTTTTTGCGATGGACATTGTCACAAAGCAGCTTTTCAGATTTCCGGGCCTTAACCCCCAGTGAGCAAGCCCAAGGCGACAGTGGCAAGGAAAAACTCCCCCAGACTAAAGGAGGAAGAAGCCCTGAGAGGAACTCCTCTGGCTGGAAACCGGGTTAAATTAGAATGAACTCATACGAGAGCCATCTGTATTCAATACATGGTGGGAAAAGCACAGTCATGTATGGAAATGTCCAACAGTGTTCCGAATGGTCAGTTGGTTTCCTTCAGCGGAGATTTCTCTGGGAAGGGCTTTGTAGAGGATCCGCTGTTGATTTCACGACCGGTAAAAGGAGCTGGATTCTGGACCTGGGCCTCCGAACAGTCCAGCCTCAGAATGGGTGGATAGAAAAGAGATAACACAGTATTAGTGAATGGCAGTGAAATTAAAATTGGTCATTTGCATGTCTTGCTACTCCTAAGTATTTGTCTGAAAGCTTGACTAAACAAATGTGTGTTTGGCCTAGATTTGAGCATTGAGATCTGAATCTGAATCCCGCACATCCTTGGGGGAGGCTATTCCAGAGTTGGGGAGCTCTATAAGAAAATGCTCTGTTGCCAGCTGTGACTTTTTTAATTTGAGGAACAACTAGGTAACCTGCTCCTTGTGACCGAAGTGTAAGAGAAGAAATATAAGGGACTAAAAGATCACTCAAGTATTGTGGGCCAAGACCATGCAGAGCTTTATAAGTGAGCAACGACAGTTTATGATCTGTGCGGAGTTAGCCTGCCTCGTTCCTTCATGGCACAAAGTCCGCAGCGAATGGGGGACAAAGGTGTTGTCTTAAATGAACGTCTCGGTGTAGGTTTGTTAGCAGAAAGAGGTGAAGGACTGTTTATCAAGACAGCTGCATCCCTCTTTGTCTTGACTCAGTCGTACCCCGCCAAGCTGGACGTGCACCAGATTCTGAGAGAAATCACACAGCTGCCATTGTCTGCTTTTCTCATCTCCTTACTCCGTGGTTATGTGCTAGAATTAATTACCCCCGACATTCCCAAGAAATCCTTCAGTGGCCTGAAAACAACACCTTTGCGTGTCTGTGTTTTATTCTGTGGCTGATTTTTTTGTTGTTGTAGTGGAAACATTGCCAGTTAGCATGTTGTTATTTACACAGCACGTCCGAGTGTCTGTCACGGGAGAGGAACTACAGTGAGCTGCTGAGGCAGCGCAGTCAGAAGTCCGTGTTCGAAAACCGTTTTTCATGTGAGAGCAATGATGACTGGCATGCCTAACCTGCCCATCCGGCCCTATAAGACCGGTTCCTCATTGAACGAAATTGAATGGATTGTAGGTTGTATTTTAGCTCTGCACTCTGGTGAGGTTTTCTAACAGCGGGCAAAAAAAATAAATAAAGCAACCACGTTCTCATCCCTGTCACGGCTGATCCGAAATGTTTGCAGCGGCGTTTGAGTTTCCCGTCGGAAACACCCGTCCTGTTGTTTTTATTTCCTACCCTGCAGGTCTACGAGCTGACTCAGGAGTTTTTCCAGAGTGGAAAACCCGTTGGTGCCGAAAGCCAGAACAGCGTTGGAATATTCACACGTGACGTGGTGCGCAAGAGAATCATGGTCGATCCGGAGGACTCGGAGAGCACAAAGAAGCTTAAATTGTCCATGCTGCAGCAGTACTTAAAGGTGAGCACAACTTGCTCCTTCGCAGGCTGAAGTAGTCCTCATGAGGATCCCGAAAAGGGCCTGACGAAGTGAGCCCCAGGCTTCGGAGACCAGGGTGCAGCTAGGCGGCTGCTAGCCTAAACTGATCCAAGATACAGCCTGTTTCCTTTTTGTGACCCTTAACGAGGTGTTAAAAGCTTAAAAAGATGATCTCCTTTTAACAAATTCTATATCAATGGTTCCTAACCCTGGTCCTGGTGATCCCCCCACACACCTGCAGATTCGTTCCATCCAACCTTCATTAGGTCATCGAAGCCGTACTTGATCTAAGAAGTTTATTCATTGGGATATGAGCATTGCGTTCCAATTGACAAGTTTGGGATTTCCAACATGTTTCAGAGCTGGGAACAAACAGTCCAGATTGATCTGATCATTAAGTGATGGAGGGGTTTGATTGTGTAACGGAGGGCTCAACGGTAACAAAAGCCAAAGTTGTGTTCGTCACCAAGATCAGGATTGGAAACCACTGCTCTATATGATCCTGTCCATGTTGTAATATGAGTCATTGAAGCTTTGAAATAACTTTTTTTTTTTGTTTAGACCTAGTGCTGCCTTTTTGGTTCTAGATTTAAAGAAAGATTTATACTGTAGTTACCTAAGAACATGTACGTGTGCCTAAGCATCCATACACCCAAATTGTTCTGTTAATAGAGAAGCTCAATTTCTGTTTATGTCTTTTTATTTTTGAGAACTATAGTTATAATTGTAATTATAATTATAGTTTCAGTTATTCTGTATCTCAACAAATTCCTTAAAAGCTTAATGTACAGTACTTAACCCCCCTTACATGTAGACCAATATTCAACAAATGTGTTCATTTGTAATTTAAGAGAAAAAGTTAATTTTTCCATGATGTACATTTCATTTATTTATTCAATCCAACCATTGATTGTTGGTAAGTTTGGAAACAGCCACTTACTTGTTATAGTCTTTTTACCAGCAGATAAGGGAATTACACAAAGATATTTGTCAGTACTACTTATATGAAAATCCAACTTGCCAAAATATAGAACCTCAAATGTAAAGGGTAAATTGCTTTCAAATATGTTCTCTAAGGCCCCATGTAAATCCACCAGAAAGGCCTTATTTTAGTGTAATTACTTGCACTGCAATTACGGTTACTGTTTAATACCATTATGTTTTCTTAATAATGGTGTAAATCAACACAGAAACTGAAAAAAGAGTTTTTGTACAATAGTAAATCTCCTTCGAGTCTCAGGCTTAGCAAAGGGAAAATGATAGCGCCTGTGTTGTAGGTTGTTCCTGTACTGCCCTGAAGGAATCATATCTGAAACTAACAGTTGCTTTAGTGAAGTGAGACGTGTGGTATTGTTGAGAAGCCACAATGAAAAGATTGCTTATTTCTGGCACTGATGGGCATTGGTTCTTTTAACTTTGCTTTATTTGTGATACACAAATCCCGCAGTAAGATAACATCATGTGAATATAGACATTGGTACTCCTAAAAATACAATGGTATTGTTAATCTCATGCAAGAAATGAATTAACAATACATTGTCTGTAATGATGCATGGCTTTAATTTTCAATTTTTAACTTGCCTATAACCAGTACTATTCAGCCAGAAATACATTTTAATTTTTAAACTCTTGCCATTAAAGTGATTTTATCTACATATTGTAAAAATCTGGCACCTTCCTTTGTACTCTTTGAACCTTGGAAAACAATGCGTACCAAAGTTGAAAAAAACGCATCTTGAGTTACATTACTGCTTGTTTTTTTAATACACATGAAAGAGCAACACCTTGGTCTAACGTAAGCAAAACTAACAAAAAGTAGGTTAGTAACAGATGAAGAAGTGCTTCAATACCAAAGAACATATTCAGAAATGTTCAGAGTATGCAGAGGAAATTCTGCTTAGACCATCAGCTTTGTTGAGGGAGTTTTCTTGTGTTGCTCAAGCCAAATGAAAAGTGCCCCTTTTTTCTGTAGGTTTCCTATTGAAGCAGTTTGTTTTCCTGGAGGAGAGTAGGTGGAAAATTACCCCTTTTCCACTTGAGGTCATGGAAATGAAAGGAAACGTTGCAGGCGCTCATATGCTCATTAACCACACAGTTCTGCAGTTTTCACTGGAAAATGGGAAAGTACACACGAGAGAATCACACCTGGAAATACCCGATCTAATATAGGGTAGTAGGAGATTTAATTACGCTTTGAACTGGGAAACTGTTTTGCCTGACGAGTTAATAAGACATTTTACTGCGCTGCCTCAAATTATCTTTGAAATTTCTTTGGTGGGGTGGCGTATATTGTCATTATTTCATATCATAAAGTTTCATGACCTTTTGAAAAAATAAATATTTCCTTAACCTGAAGGTATAAAGTGAACTTGCTCAACCCATGTTTAATTCACTATGGCTAAAAACGAGCAAAACAGGACTATCAAGATCCATTACATCCCTCCCACACATACTGCAGAGGCTGTATTAGGACAAACCCGTTTATAATTTCATATGAAATGTGGAATTCCATGTAAAAATGTTTGAGGATTTTCCATGTTTTGTGCCTTTTTTTTTTGCAAGCGCTTTAAAATGATCCAGTCTTTCTCAGCCACAGACGGATTCTCTCTTTCTTTTCTCATAGACGTCCATGCTCATAGCTACTTCTTGTGCCAGGATATTAAACTCCACCAATATTAAACTCCACCAATGTCATAATTAAGAAGCAAATTCAAACAAAACGGAACCTGATGAATGACATGTCTAGTCAAAGTTACTAATTTGAGACGGACGATACATTTACAAAATAAATTAAAAGGTAAATTTCATAAGGTAACCTCATTTAATAAGTTATAAGAAACATTAATGAGAAATAGTTATAAAAAATTTGCTTAAAGGTTTTTATCGCAGGTTGATGTGAGTGTATTTAGAGCTTTGTGTTGCATCGTAGGTCTTGCCATCTTTAGACTTAGCTAAGCAGAGCCCAAGGAACGTTAACTAAATCCATATTGGGTTGCTGAAGAGTATGGGTGCATCATTGTGTCCTCGCAATTCACAATTTGCTAGCATGTTTGTCTCTGACATGTTTGTCAGAATGACATGCCTGTATGTGACTCAGTGTTGTGTTGTGCAAAGAAATGCTAAATAAAAAACCTCTGTGATCTTCTAGGTTACCACAGTCTCAGTTCTTACATGTCTTGTGGAAAAAGAAAGAAAAAGAAACTAAGAGACAGAATTAGACAAATTGCAGGGGCAGGAGAGTTGGTTGAGAGGGGAGGGAGTGAATACATTTATTTACTTTCAGTTATTCCTGTGCTGTCATGAAAAAAATGAACTCTAATACAGGGTAAGCAGTAGTATCATAACGATGATCTCATGTGTTTGTTTGCATATGCAATAACTGTATGTAAAACAATACTTTTTAAGTTTCCAGTACTGATTTTCATAAAAATTATTACTAACCACTTGCCATGGTTAATTATTACGTATCATTCACCGTGGTGAACACCTATTGCTGAAATAGTGAACAGTAATAACAGATATTAAACAGCAGAAATGCTTGTTTTGCAAACTACGGAGAAGTAATGTTTCCCCTAAAAGGTGCTATTTCCTGTATTTACAAATTCACCAACCGCAGAAACTCCAGCAGACCTAACCCTTAGAAATACCGAATTTTAACTGTATTTGGCTCTGCCAGAAGACAAAAGCCGCTCTGCAAGCCTGGCTCCAGTGCCTTATTGGGTTAATAACAAAAGAGCAGGCTTGACTCTTTCAGTTTTTGTATCACTTACGTTTGCCACATCAGTTCTTGTATCTAGTTTGTCTTTCCATTCCTTTTGCTGTGGCCTGAAATGGCAAAATGTCACTTAACGGGATTTGGAGAGATGTTCTTGATCAAAGAAAATAAAGCCACAGCAGCCTCCAGGTTCTGGGAGGTGGGCATTTAAATGAAAGGGCTAAGTTCTGCTGACATTGACTCACGGCTGTTGACTTTGATGTAGATTCTGTACTTGTGTCTGCTGGAGGGCAGGATAACCAATTAAAACCATCATGACTGGACCATCGTGGCATTATTTTCTACCATTGATGTTATATGTCCTCATTGAGATTATTGAGATGAGGCATGAATGCAGTGATGTTATTCAAGTGACAAATTGCAAAGTGTAAAATGTTTGAAAGTGCAGAACACACTCTAAAGACAAGTTATACATTTAGCTTGAAAATGAAACGTGAATGGGGTTGCTTGTCTGATGTATACAATCATTAAATCTAACAGCGCTCAGTCAGTATCTCCCAGACTGATATAGTGTTTAATTGAAAAGCGTGCTACAGGAGGTATTATTTCAGATGCTTTGATTGAGTAAAAAAAATCAGATGAGGAGTTACTTGCCAGTTTAAGCATCTGAAAGTCCGTAGTTTGGGATGATCTATTTTCTGATTTGTTTAAACACATTTTGTCACTCAAGACCTATGGTTTTGAGAGAAATGGGTTTGATAACAATCGTTCATGTGTAAAACACTGGTTTATTGAAGCCAGTGCTGTTAGGCTAGGCTGCTTGATTTGAGCTTTTTCACATTCCCAGTGAGGACAGTTTTGGAGACCGCATGCTTTCCTAAAGCTGCAGGAATTAATTGCTTACTTCCAAACTGTTTTTGAGTTTCTGATTACAGAATTTAAGAACGGTCTTTGTTAGATACTGTAGCAGTTAGAGTTTGCTCGTCTCAGATTTGTAAAAGAAGCTCTGTGAAATGCATGTCATAGTGAAAGTGTCATAGGAAATACACCATCAGCTTCTGACCAGGGTATAAATATTCAAGAGAAATTTAGGGAAACAGATCAGTTTAATGTTAATTTTTTTTTTTACAAGAAAATAATTTACCTGTGTCCCCTTGCTATCAAAAACCAACTAAAGGAACCAGCTGCTCAGTTAAATTTTAACTGCAAAAACTAAGCAATAAATTGAATTGTATGAAATATCCGATTAAATTATGCTTCAGGTTAGCCTTGTTGATTATATATAGGCCTATACATATTTTGCAAGGCACTGTTCTTTTTTAACCTCTGAATTATGATTCATGGGGCTACCAAAATGTGAGACTTCTGCACTTTTTAGTGCAACAAAACTTTTAAAAACATTTTTAATTCAGAAGCAGAAGAAGAATGTGAAAAAATTGATTTATAACATAACATGTGAATAGAGAAAAACAAGTATTCAAAAGCCAAATGTATTCTTTCTTTATGAGAGGTCTGTTTATATAGTATCAAACCTTTATTTCTTTGCAGAACAACAACCATTCAGTGGTGTAGTGAATCCAATTGTGATCTAATTACTAAAATGTTGTGCTGCAAGGCTTGTGTTTTCTGTGCATATTTCATCTGCCCTGGTGTGTTGATAATATTTGCAATATACACCAGTTTCTGTTTGATTGTCTCAGGTTCAAACTGGTTTCTCAGCAAGAAGAAACAAGACTGCATTAAGAGGAATGTAGGTGGAAGCTATGCTACTTGTTTTTTCCTAGACCAAGCCTGTGTATATTTCAGTTGCAGAATGCAGTGTGTGTGCCCTGGCTTCACATTTACCTAGATCTTACTAGGTTTTACGTTTTATATTTTTAGTATTCAAGCATTTCTGTTGCTGTTGCTTTAGTGTTATATATTATCATGAACCTCTTTGTTGTTATTTAAGCAGCAATATCTAATATATTTTTTTTTCTGTTGAGTTAAGGATGCAAGACGCTTACATTGTTTTTTAAACGATCAACACAGTGACAATAATGGGCAAAATTGATTTGAACTCTCTTCAGTATTCCAAGTGCAGAACACAGGTTGCACTATTTTTTGCAGATCTCCCTTACTCTTTTAGAGAAGGTGTTGTGTGTTAGAAGTAATGGTCCGCCGTGTATTTTATCCTTAATGTTTGTAGGAATCCTGGTTCTTCTGTAGTGTTGTTATTTAAATCCGTTATTGCCAAAAAGAGTTGTAGGTGTATGGAATAAGCTGGGAGCCATGTTGTTAAAGCTGATACACTGACTTCTTTTGAGAAACAGCCGGATGAGGTCCTTGGATCATTTAACCACTAACTACTCATTGGGCCTGCTGGGCTATATGGCTTCCACTCATTTGTGACCTCTCTCATGTTCTTACAGTATGTCCCTTTAATCTGCTTCTATGTTCTGTCCTCAGGTGGAAAGTTGTGAGAGCAGCTCTCCCAGCATGGACGAGGTGTCGCTGAGTGAGTTTGGGGAGTGGACGGAGATCCCCGGTGCCCATTACGTCATCCCCACTGGCTTCATCAAGATCGTGGAGCTCCTGGCACGAGACATTCCCGAGCGCGTGGTGCAGCTCAACAAGCCCATCCACTGCCTGCACTGGAACCACTCTGTGCGCCAGGACATAGCCCACACAGAAGACCACAACAGCGACCACCGGGGCCCATCTGCTCAGGGCTACCCAGTGTACGTCGAGTGCGAGGACTGTGAGTTCATCCCAGCCGATCACGTCATCGTCACCGTCTCGCTGGGCGTCCTCAAGAAGAACGAGAGCCTCTTCTCCCCCAGGCTGCCGGAAGACAAGGTCATGGCCATCGAGAAGCTGGGCATCAGCACCACCGACAAGATCTTCCTGGAGTTCGCCGAGCCCTTCTGGAGCCCCGAGTGCAACAGCATCCAGTTCGTGTGGGAGGACGAAGCTCAGCTGGAGAACCTCACCTACCCAGAAGAGCTCTGGTACAAGAAAATCTGCAGCTTCGATGTCCTGTACCCGCCCGAGCGCTACGGCTACGTGCTCAGCGGCTGGATCTGCGGGGACGAGGCTCTGGTCATGGAAAGGTGCGACGACGAGACCGTGGCCGAGACCTGTACAGAGCTGCTGCGCAAATTCACAGGTCAGTACAGGTGCCTTCAAGCCTGCGGCATTAGGCGACTCGATCTCAGAACCGTTGCGAGTCGCGTCACCTCTGTATTGACCTCGCGTGTTTCCAGACTAGCTCGTACCTTTCTTTCGTAACCCTTTCTCTTCTTGCTTGTGACTTTAAAGGATGATGTGATCCCAAGGGAGAAGGTCTTCTGAAAGTGGGGGATTCAAGCAAGCAGAGTGAAAAATTAAGGAGTTCTAAAACAGTGACTGCCATGCAAGGGCTCCATTGGTTTTTGTTTTAAACTAAAGCTTAATTAGTGCTGTCTTCATTTCCATGTTCACTGTTGTTACGGACACTCAAAAGGATTCCTCATCTCATTTTTGAAATGTTCGTTGTTTTGTTATGGAGGGAGTGAGATGTAGATGATATTATATGTTATTATATTATCATATAGATGTGATCTATATAATAATCTTTTTAGATGGTCAGTAGTTTGATTAGTTTCTTAAAACAAGTCTTTCACGCTAGCTGCTGAACACAAAACTGCCACTTTGACATTACTATCATATAAATAAATACACTTAGATACTCCACTCAAAGCACTTTACAGGTAATGGTGTCTCCCCTTCACCTCCACTAATGTGAAGCCCCACCTGGAAGCCAGTTCATAGTTCAGGGGTTATTAGGAGGCCATGACTGGTAAAGGCCAGCTGGAAATTTGTCCAGGACACTGGTGTAACACTCCTAACCTTTCCGAGAAATGCCCTGGGATTTTTAATGACCATGGAGAGTCAGGACCTCGGTTTTACATCGCACCTGAAGGAAGGTGCCTTTTTTACAGCTTAGTAGCCCCGTCACTACATTGGGGCATTAGGACCTTCACAAACCACAGGGTGAGCTTCCCCACTGGTCCCACTAACACCTCCTCCAGCAGCAACCTTGGCTTTCTCAGGAGGTCTCCATCCAGGTACTGGCCAGCCTCACACCTGGAAGAGGTGTTAGTGGGGCCAGCAGGGGGCGCTCACCCTGTGGTCCACGTGGGTCCTAATGCCCCAGTATAGTGATGGGGACACTATACTGTAAACAGGTGCCGTCCTTCGGATGAGACGTAAAACCGAGGTCCTGACTCTCT